AGAAACTAAATCCCCATTTGCTTACCATGGTTTACTGGCGGTGTCGAATTCCAGGAGGACATCCACGCACTGGCTGAAGTAGATGTGAACTGCACTATCATGCCAAGCATCCTGGACAAGATGGAGCCGACAGGCAGCAATTATCTTCTACCAAGCAGTTGCAACGTCCGAAAATGAACTAACTCGAGTAGTACTATATCTACACCACGTACGTGCTTGCTAGCTTCTCCACTTCAATGCCAATGGATCCACAGCATGCACCCACAGCAGGCCTACGTAACCAGGTAACTCGTTATCTACATCATACATGATTGTGCATGCTTGCCTTTTAGTTTAGCTCAAGGACGTGACGATGACTTCCGCTCCAAGATGTTTTTCTTGATTTTCGTCCAGCAGGAATGCCTGGGCCGTCCTTCACTTCTTCACTGCGCTGAGTCAAGTAAGTAAGTTCAGCTCATAAAGCTTTGTGCTTGTCGGTGTTACACCTAACCAGTGTGACTGTCGATAATGTGGATGCTCAGCGTAGCACTGTTTAGGTCAAACGAAAGAAAGAAACAGTCAGACCACAGTGGCTACACAAAAACATGAAACGAAAGGAGTCGCCAGAGCACCGAGGTACATGTAGCTCCACTTACCGTGGTGTAACCGTTCCGCCAGCACGCTGCCATGACTGTTGTGACGTGACTTGTCGCGCTGAGTATAATGTCGATAAAATAAAGTCTTTGTGGTCCACTCTCGAGCACACAACACCAACAACATGATACGGTCGGAGAAGTCTCTGCTGAGAGCGCGGTGGCTCGGGGCGAACGGAAGAAATAGAAGAAAAGGCTACACACAACACAGTAGAGGGGACGGCTCGATACCGGGACGTTTTGACAGCCAAATTTGTATAGACCCAAACCGATCATCAGCGTTGATTTTTCACTCGAAATATGTTTGTGGAAGGAAACTGGCATGTTGAAGTCTGCTCTGGGGCCAGAGTCAATCGAACTGAGCCACTCCTTTGTGTTGACCCATTGCCTCCAAGTTGCCCAATTTTTCGCTTCAAAAAAGTTCAAATCAGAGGTGGCTCCAAACCGGACACGTTTTAGAGTGCACGTCAAATTCACTCTGGGTCTGAAATTAGGTAATTGCTATCGCTCCACGACGGCCAGTACAGAGTAACAATAAGCCTTGTGTGTGCTTCCATTAGTTTTGATTGGTATGCGGTGCTTTATTGGCGAGAAGCGAGCCGCTGTTTACCTGCGACAAGAAGTTGATTTTTCGATAGTCGTAAAACTCAAGTCGCAGTGCGAAGCAACACGTCAAAAACTCACCTGCTTGATATGGCGCTTCTGGTCATCGCAGAGCCATGAAATTTTGGCTCGGAGTATAACACATCGTAGTCTCACTGTGACATATGTTTTCTAATCAAAATACCAAGAGAGAAAGTGAATATTGAGTCCGTTCCGGTTTGCAACCGGTGTCCTATTTGAAACCGTCCCCTGTACTGTGTCAAGTGTGTGTGAAGTGGCAGACCGCATTTTGCAGATCCATACTTGCCAACCCCTGCCCTGGGGCCCTGGCCCTGGCAAACAGTTTCCTTGACAGCACGGAGGGTTTTCCTGGGTTTTGCCCATTTTTCCTCGATCTGCACAAGCATTCTCAAAATAGTACGAAAAAACGTACTGTAAAAGCGCTAACTCAAGAGTTCTCTCTCGCTCGCTAGAGCTTCGTTGTGTTGGGCACAGCACTGCTCGCGAGCGTCGAAAAAACTGAAAATCAACAAAAGGTGCTGGGGGACATTTTTCTGAAAATCCGGTAGATGTTATAACTTTTCCGGTATACCGGGACAAAAGCGAGTTTTCTTGGGGTTTCCCGGACATTCCGATAGTGTTAGCAAGTACTAAGTACTGTATGTAGATCATGGCACATAATTCTGTGGAGGAAAATCCAAAATCGATTTTACAGCGTCATAGTTTCGAGTTCAATATCCAAGTCTGTTGAAAGACTTTTCCCAGGCTCATATATCAAGTCAAGACGACAAGAGTAGTGCTGACCCGAATTTGCTAGCAATTCTTCTAGCAAAATATCGAAGAATTTTGAAAGGGAATTTGCTGGCAAAATGGAGCAAAATATCGGTGTGTTGGCTGGGAATTGGGAGATTTTACACATATACGGTGCACATGACTCATTTCGGCACAATTTTACCAACACGTGACTCACTTTTTCTCATTTTTGCCAACACGTAACCCACTTTCGGTCAGTTTTCTCACACGTGACACAAATTTTGGAGCAAAAAGGGAGCAAAATATCGAGTGGCCTAGCAAAATGAAAGCAAAATTTCGACGATGCACGAGCAAAATTATGCCGCAAAATATCGAGATTCAGCTGGCAAATTCGGGTCAATACTTTTTTGAAAAGTGAGCCACGCGTTTTTCGGGCTCTCCTTTTTTCCCCTTTTTTGCAGCCCAGCCGGCATCAGGCCGGACTGGAAGTAGACTAGATCAGTGATTAGAAATAGAAGTAGAGTAGTGTCGGAAACTTGCCATGCCCGGAGCTACCACGAGAACTAACTCTCGTGTATCAGCCTTGACTGAATCTGAGACGAAAATGTTGGGCTCCCTGCCTAGTATCGAGTCGGATGTATCGGCAGTGCTAAAAAGTCTGGCCGCACTTGTCTCCGAGGCCGCCGATCGCGAGGATCGCCTGAACAATAGGTTCGATGAGCTATCCAGACAAGTATCTGAGCTGAAGGAGGAGGTAGCTTCTCTCAAAGAATCCGCCATTGCCGCGGCGAAAGCTCCTCAGCCGTGCCAGCCAGGACGTACTACGAACCCTGACCGTACCCGTACTGACCCCCGCACAGCCTGCAGGCAGTGTAGCATGAGTGCGAGTACGAGCAGATCTACCAGCTACAGCAGCGCGCTGAACCAAGGTCCAGCATCCGATGCGCCCCGTACTGAAAATGATGCTCGCCCAGCAGCCAGCCCTGGCCACAATGTGGACAGCGTGAGCGAGAGTGACGCGGATGACGGTTTTCAGCAGCCACGGAGACGAAAGCGCAACAAGAGCACAAAGGTGTTGCAGCCCATCTCCGACGATGCATGGAAACTAATTGCAGATGAGCCCCACAGAGCGAAGAGAGCTGTCGTATATGTTGGTAACCTCAGCAGGGAGACAACTGAAGACCGGTTACGCGAATTTGTTGATTTGCGTAGCAGGGCCGTCAACTCCGACACACCAGTAGTGCTCCACACCTGTAGCATGCATGTCAATGCTAGCGGCTGCATGTCTGCAAGAGCGTTTGTGGATGCCAGCTCCCTGCATATCCTGCTGGCTGCCAACTTCTGGCCAAGGCCACTTTATTGCAGGAGGTGGACCTTCCACACATCCGACACTCACAAGACAGTACCAGGGTCAGCTCAGCCTGGCTGCCCACCAACTGACACGCCAGAGACATCCCCATCCCTGCCCAATCCACTGCAAAGCGCAGGTAGCAACAAAAGCAGCAGCGCAGATACTGCAAGCAACAACAAAAGCAACAGCGCAGATACTGCAAGCAACAACAAAAGCAGCAGCGCAGATACTGCAAGCAAGCAACAATGAAAATCCTCCTTACAAATGCTGGTGGAATCATGTCCAAATTTGGAGAGTTTCAACACGCGCTTGTATCCTCCAAAGCTGATATCGCTGTTGTTACTGAAACCAAGATCACCGCAGAGAAATTCTCCCTTCACGAGTCAGCCATCCCAGGGTACTCCGGCCCACTCCGGCGTGACAGGACTGAACATGGTGGTGGCATAGCAATCTGGATACGCAGCCCATTGGCGTACCATCATCTAGATCAGTACGACTCATCTGTTCACGAAGTAACTTGGCTCACAGTGCAGTCTGCCCATCATGGTAAGATAGTGCTGGGTGCTGTATACAGGCCAGGATCCGCCTCAGACACTGATATCTCAACACTTGAGCACCTCGATGGCATCCTGGATAGCGTCAGAAAACACGGCACCCACACCATGCTGGTCGGAGACTTCAATGTCCACAACACGGCTTGGCTCGGCAGCTCTAAGACCACCCGTGCAGGGGAGTACATGGAGGAACTAAGCGCTGCCCACAGCCTCATGCAGCATGTCCAAGAACCAACTCGAGGTCTCAACACCCTGGACTTAGTGCTCTCTGACTTCACTGGTACTGTGACCACCGGTATCTCGCCGCCGATAGGAAGGTCAGACCATTGTGTTGTCCACGCTGTGCTCGCTCAAGCCCCGCTTGAAAATGAGCCCAGCACACGGAGACGTGTGTGGCGATATGGCCAAGCCAACTGGAACAGACTGCGTGCCCACTACCGTCGCATTGCCTGGGCAGCTGAGTTTCCGGAGGACCCAGAGGAAGCATGCAGCCTTGTTACTAGGCACATCGTGTCTGGGATGCTGCAGTTTATTCCCCACAAGATGCTGGAAACAAGGCCGTCCGATCCGAGCTGGTGGACACCAGAATGCACTGAGGCTCAACGTGCCAAAGAGAAAGCGTGGAAGGCCTGGCGTCACCAGGGGCCCAGCGAATGCCTGAAGCAGTCGTTCATGACAACTGTCACTCAATCTATTACAACCCAACATCGTGCACAACAAGCTGAAGAGCAGACAGTCCGAGAGCGTCTCACACGTGGTTCCATGAGAGACAAGGACTGGTGGAGGAATGTCAAGCGCGCCGCCGGTCTGGGTAGGACTACAGACGTGCCAACACTCACTGATGCTGACGGGCACGAGCACAGTACATCGAAAGCCAAGAGCGAGTGCCTTGCTAGATTCTTTGCTGAAAAATGTAGCCTTGGGGATAATGACATCGACAATGCTGAGTTACCAGCAACACCCTGCACTACCACTCCGGGCCTGCAGCGCGTCCGCTTCCGCGTCTCTGAAGTCCAACAGTGCCTGAAGCGTCTCAACACATCCAAATCCACTGGTCCAGATGAGATCCCAGGACGAGTACTCAAGGAGTGTGCAGCTGAACTAGCACATCCGCTGGCTAGATTGTTTCGCCTGTGTTTTGCAAATGGAGTCCAGCCCCAATCATGGAAAATTGCCCGTGTCGTTCCAGTGCACAAGAAAGGACCCAAATCCATGATGAAGAACTACCGGCCTATATCTCTCCTGACGATCATCTCTAAGATCATGGAAGGTATCATCAATCGGCAGCTTGTGAACCACCTGGAAACCCATCAGCTCTTCTCCTCGTCCCAGTTTGGCTTCCGACGTGGACTGGGCACAAGTGACCTACTGACGGCTCTCCAGCATTCCTGGGCCACTACCCTGGCTGGCGGCGGTCTTGTGCATGCCCTGGCAGTTGATATTGCCGGGGCATTCGACAAGGTTTCCCACCCAGGTGTCCTTGCGAAGGCACAGCAATGTGGCATCCACGGCCAACTCCTGGCTTGGCTAAGGTCGTATCTCCATGACCGAAAACTGACTGTAGTTGTTGGCGGTCAGTCCTCCCCACTGTTCCCGATCAAGGCTGGAGTGCCCCAGGGTAGCCTCCTAGGTCCCACTCTTTTCCTGTTATATGTAAACGATGCAGAACAGTGTTTAGCCCCAGGCTCCAGTCTAGCTGTCTACGCGGACGATACAACACTCTATGCCCTAATCAGAAACCCAGATACCATCGCTGCTGCTTGCAATAGCCTCCAAGCATCTATTGACCGCCTGCAGACTTGGGGTGCCCAATGGAAGATAAAGTTCGAGCCATCAAAATCTCAGGCAATACTCCTTGACCGCCACAGACCATCCCTGGATGTCCCACAGCTCACATTTGATGGCATGCAGGTGCCTGAGAGCCCTCAGCTCAAGCTGCTAGGAGTGTTATTTGACAGTACTCTCTCCTTCCGGGCCCACATCCGTTCCCTTGCCGTTAGAGCCAACCAGCGACTCGGCCTGCTCCGAAAGGCATCTCGGATCCTGGACAGTGCAGGGCGCCTAACTGTGTACAAAGGATTTGTACGGCCTATAATGGAGTACGCCCCTCTCGTCTGGGCAAGTGCGGCACATTGTCACCTCCATCAGCTGGACCTGGTCCAGCGTCGAGCCATGAAGGTTATTGGCCCCTCATTGCTCCCCAGCCTGGCAATCCGAAGGCATGTTTACGGGCTGTGCTACCTGTATAAGCTGCAATGCATACCAGGTCCAGCTCTGCTTACCAACATGGTACCTCCCCCAGCAAGAGTTAACGCTGCACCCCGGACGCGCCGGCAACGCCAGTCCCTCGGTGGCCACTCTTTCCAACTCGCAACTCCTCTGCCAGCCTCCAGTCCAGAGTTCATCCGCCGCTCCTTCCCATACTTTGTCCTGGAGAGCTGGAACACACTGCCTGCCCCAATCCTCGCCGAACGCCCAACTCTCAAGAAATTGCCGACATTCAAGACCAAGGCCTACCATCACCTCCGCCAGACCAATTGGCTATGGGCCACTGAAGTCCACCAGCACTGAGAATAACCGGTTGTCTCTATTATTATCATTTTCTGTCTCTCTCTCTCTCTCTCTCTCTCTCTCTCTCTCTCTCTCTCACTCTTCCTCTCCTGGGAAGCTCCTCATGCTCATTCTCCCTTTCTCTGTCCATCTCCCCTTCCTGATGCGTAGACCAACTGTTGAACCCGAGACCACTAGGTCGGGGGAGGTTGACCTACCTCATCGGCACGCATGCCACGCTCCTCTGTGTTGTCAAAGTTCGCTTGTCCACTTTTTTCTACATCCCCTTTTGTGTTGCTGGCCAGTGCTTTGTAGTAAAAAAAAAAAAAAAAAAAAAAAAAAAGATCAGTACTAGACCTACATGACTGTACATGACTGTACTGGTAACAAGACTACAGACTGTACAGTAACTACTCCTTGCTCTGGTGAGACTTGTTGGTTGCTGTTGAGTACAATCATGTACTAGTACAACCATTTGGGCCACGCCACAGTAGATCTACCCGTAACCAGGTAACCGGTAACCGGTACAGATTTTCTCTCTCCAGTCCAGGTCGACTAAACGTTCGCTGTGACAGTTTCACCCTGTTACACTGTACTGTCACTACTGTCACATAAGTATGTGACATACTGATATCATCAAGAGTCCATAACCCAAGAGTATGCAACTATGCCTGCATGCGTGGCGCGCTGCCTTCATTACGTAACTAAGTGTTACTTGCCTTCATCACGCTCTGAAAGCATGCATTCAAACTCTCAATTTCTCGCACGAGCCCATCCGTTTTTTGCTCGATTCGTTGCAGTACCTACACAATCTCTGAATTCTGGCGCGTGAACTCCAGTTCCGTACGAAAGTTCATTTCAAACTGGAGGGAAAGTGCGGTGTTTGATTTTCCGCAGTGCGCGGACTGACCGCGGAGTCGCCGCGGACTGCAGCTGAATGATGTAATGAAGGCAGCGCGCCGCGCATCTGGCCCATAGAAAAGAGATCACAGTTGCATACTCTTGGGTTATGGACTCTTGATATCATTCATATTCTACGCCTTGCACTCCCAACTCTATTCACGCCACCTCAGCTGCACCCCTAGCACCAACCCTGTGAGTTTCACAACTACATCATGTACATGACTGTGTCATGTATAGGCTGGCAGCATCATCCTTTTATCTAGGCTATCTTTCTCATAGACATTGTCTTTTCCTTGAACACCAAGTAAATCTGTTACAACAAGCGTTCACAGCCACAATACCAAGAACTGCACTGGACCATGACAGCCTCACACTCACAGGCGAAGCTAGCACCGAAACAGACCTAGCTGCTATGAGTCAAGACCAAAATGTAACTTGGGAGGCAAGCAGAGAACGACTAACCACTGTGACCAATTGTGTTGTTTTGGAAATGAGGTTGTCCCAGCACAACAGGAACAATTACCGCTGCATAGAGGTCAGGAGTAGAATTGTCTCTTTTACGGATAAGCAGGGGAAAGTCAGTAAGAAAAGTGAAAGCTGGAAATTTAAAATAGAAACGCGGGCAACACGGTATAGTTAGGTATGATGTGTATTTGTAACGACGGTCTCATCTCAAGTTTTGAATAATATTACCAAGGCTGGGCTAGAACGAGCACAACAGGCTGTCAGACCAACACATCAAATCGTAAATATCTACAGTATATACACACAGAGCTGCAAAGCGCGTCACAGTCATAAGCATGGCAACGCCCTGGATACGCTGTGAACACGAGAGCATGTCTGACACATGCAAGTACTGCAATCTATGAATATACAAAACTAGAAAATTCTATGCTCTATCAAGCAGCAGCTGAAGCACTAAAATAGGATACAGTACTGCAAGTAAATACTTCTAGCCCAGGGATACTACTAGTCGGTGATATTCTGGGTTTGAATAAATGTTCACAGTACAAGTAAAATCTGAAGACTGTTTACTTTCCACGTGTGGAAGGGCACAGACAGACGAACACAAGCCGCACGCACGCACACACACACACACACACACACACACACACACACACACATACACATGCACACACGCAACTACATGCATACCTATATATCAACCAAGACTGACCAATGCCAGTAGGATCAGATCAGCCGGTTGCACTGACCAGCATTGCAGTTAATGCTTCACTGTCTTGTAACTATCAACATAACACTCTGATACCAGGGTGGCTACACACCAGCCGCCTCCACCATCATGCCACTGGTTTCTTGTCATTTCGATCGATAGCAGAGAATGCTGGTTCGGGCTCGGAGCCATTCACGCCATTGGTCATGGCAGAATGGGCGTCCCCATCAGCACTACTGTCATTGACATTCAGCTCCAGCAGCTGCTTGGTCAATGTGTCTCGACGCTCTTCCAGCTGATGCAGAATGGCGTCAATCTGCAAGGAACAAATTGTGAAAAGACCACAACAAAAAGAAGAGAATCTTCCATCACGGAGCATTGAGTGCTAACGCGATGTAACTGACATACACATTATGGTCACAGGCTCATATCCAGAGCAGGATGCTGTAATTTCACAACATGTCGGTGTACTTCTATTTTTGGTACTTTCGGTGAATCTTTCTCACACCTAAAACTTCAAGTCGTACAACATTGACACACATCATCCGATAGGGAACTGATTTTCTTTACCTAAAATACCTGTTCAACTAATATGGTCTTTGCCCTCATACCTATAATTTTGAGCACCTGAAATTTCTGAAATTATTAATTATGCATGTACTGTGGTGCACTGGTTGATGTGTGTGTGGCACTCTGTTCCTATGCATGGTCAACATGTTTAAATGGCAAGCAGAAGCTCATATGTATCCCTACATGCTGAGGGCTGGTGACCTCCCTACTGGCAGCCCAACCTGGAGGGAGATCTCCCTACCACAGGCGAATTGAAGTTGGCAGGTCTGGCACTGGTTGCTATGCTCCTGGGAGCTAAGCATGTATACCGGTTTGTGTAAGCTTTACACTATAACGATAGACTGTGGATCATGTTGGTTTCACACATTGCTCTCACAACTAAACTACTTACATCATTATCAAACATCGACGAGAGATTTTCAATTCCATCCAGCGTCTGCAGGTCGCTTGGCTCTGATGCACTCTTCCTCTCAACAGGATTGCTGTCTGTTGCTTTGGATCGTGGAGATCGGTCTAGCGTTTCCGCTCGAATTTCCGCCGAGTCGTAGCTCTTCTGTGGCAGCGGCAATGTACTAGTTGTGAATGTTTTTGCCAGCCCATTACTAGTACTGCCATTATGCATGCTGCTGTCAATTGATAGCTGTTCACTAGCAGTGGACTTGTCGCCCAGTGTTCCATTTGATGATGTTTGATTGGATTCGGACGACAGTGAAACGGCCGACGCATTGAAAGCAGTTGCAGCTCCCATGCCTTCCTTAGCTCCGTCACCAAAGGAAGTTGAGGAGGGACAGTTGGAAGAAACAAGGCTGGAGGAACGCTTGCTGGCAGAATACGATAGAGCAGTGTTTTCCGGCGGTCCGGGAGGGGTGGCAGCTGGTGGGGGTGTCATGCTTTTTCTTGACTTAGTCGAGCGAACTGATCCTTTAGGCGCTACTGGGGGAGGATGTTTATCAGAAGAGTTAGACATATTGGAGGATACTGATCTGACTGATCCCTGACGCTGGGACAATGCAAGTAAAAGTTTATCAGAAACATTGGAGCTGGCGGACAATGCTGATGATGTTGATCTGATTGTTTCGCTCTTTGGGGTGCCGCCAGTTGCTTCCATCTGTTGCTGCTTATCCTTCTCCATATCAAGTTGCATGGAGCTAGGGCGTGGGATAGACCTCAGACTTGGTCGAACAACAACGCTTGCGTCACCTCGCATGGGCTTTGGGATTGGAGGGCGCTGTCGATTTCTCTTCAGGGCACCTTTCAGGTCATCGGGTGTGAGGGCTGGCATTGAGCGACGACTTCCACGGCTAGCACGTGATCCAAATTCACTATTCACGTCTGCACTTCGAACACTGAAACGACCACTGTCATTGGTGCCTGATGATGATGCCTCGCCATTCTGTTGTCGCCATGCTGGAGCGGGTATGCCGCCTACTGGTAATGGCGGGGGTGGAGGTGGAGGTGGTGGAGGGCCACCCACCGTGGGTGTTGCTGCCGTGATATCAACCGAAGGAGGGATCTCATCAACCTGCGGACCCGGGGTGTAAGTTGGCAATTCGAAACTCTCAGATACTTGTGGTGGAGGAGGCAATGGCGGTGATGGTGGTGGAAGGGACGTCATCATTTCTATAGGATGAAGTTTCAACGATGGATTGTCGTCTTCTAGTTCATTGAATAGTGGCGGGGGTGGCAAGTCACTGCCTGGCTGATAGGACACAGAGAGGTCATTCCCCGAAGTATACGCCATCTTCTCACCAAGTCCCGTTTCCACAAACATATCATCATCATCATTGTCAATATTGGGCAAGGATGGGTTGCGAGCGGAAAGAGGGTTGTGAACTTCAACGGGGAGAGGAGATTCCAGTTCCTTCATGGCTTCTTCTCGTTCTTGACTCTGCTTTCTAGCAGCAAGCTCCGAGTCTGAAGTCTTCCGACTGCATAGCAATATATACAAGAACACAAAGAGAATGGTCTTTGAATAGAGGTATAGTTGGAGGAAGACAAATTACATTAGCCCAAGTAGAGCAGGTATATCCTATGAGGCCATTCGCACCAGTACTCTTCACAATCGGAATTCAATTTACCAGCAATTTCTGTGCTACACGTGCCACAGAATGGTCTTTGCACGAAAGCAAAAACAGGACCATCCAATCGTCATAAATTCAAATGATCACAGAACAAAACAATCAGTAGGAAAAGAGCTGCAATATATTGGACTGCCACAGGCACGTTATCAATGAGGTGATGTTGCCTAGTCACAGGGCACACGAATGATAGTGTGCATATGTGTGTTTACCTTGATTTGGAATTGCAACAGCAACACCCACAGCAGCAGCACACCACCATCAGGATAATAATGAACAAGACTCCTCCGCCACACGCTGCAATGATGATGAGGAACAGTGAGCTCAAGCCACCTGCTTTCGTGTCATCGCTGTCATCTGGACGGAACATAAGACATACATGTGGACATACATGTAGACTCTCTAGCACAAAATGACTTGCTAATGAATAATGTAATAGCTGGTCAAGTTTCTCCCACTTGCACTATTCACAATGCACTTACTCTACCGTGTGCCTGATCCTCCCCGGCTGTACCTGAAGTCTCCTTTCTTCTCTGCATACTCCCTAGGCTATGGTCTGCTCTACCTCAATCATGCACTGATATCAAGGAATTTTAAAAATATCTTCTCTCTGGCTAGCTGCGCCTGCTGCACTAATCACAAAATCAAATGCTTTGAATATGTCGCTAATGTTTACCCATAGTTTGCCATGGTTGGCTATCACCCTTTATTTCCCATTAAAACATTTTATTAGAAGTCGTCTGACGAGCCAGAACTGAATGCTGGATGAATACAAATACAAATACACTGTACTTGCAAAAGGTGCTCGATACCATGACTCGATACCATGACTCGATACCATGACTCGATACCATGAGGCCAGAGCCAAATGGCATGCAGTTGTCTGAAGATTAGTACGGGCGGCATGCAGGACCATGTTCAACAGGGAATGAAGGCCGAGTGGTATATCGCAGCCTCCTCCGACCAATACCATTCGATTAAGCGTCCAGAAGATTACAGGTTCTGGGAGTTTCACGCTTGTCCGTGCTTCTATAAGAACAAAGTGACGCTTTCAGTGAGATTTTCCACACAAATCACTTGTAGGATGCAATCATCCAGTTTCGGGGGAAGTGCACGAGTTCAATCAGGAATAAGACGAAGGGAGCATCTCAGCTTCCTCAGACCAAGACCATTCGACCCAGCACCGCAAAGACTACAAGTGGTGACACTTAGATGTTCATACCGCACTTCCCCTCCTTTGTACTGGCTCTTGCCATTGGTCAGTGAAATAAAATACACAACCCTACTGAAAATTCTAGACAAAGGTTTCACGATTTTCATCCCTAAACAACTAAGTTACTTACCATCTGTAGTGGATGGGAAGGTTGTGGTGACAGGTTGCTCATTACTTATACTTGTAGTGTCAGTGCTGCTGGTGACGTCAATACGGGTAGAACTAACATCTGAAACAACAGCCATCATAAAGAAAAGAACACGGCATTCGATATGTCAAGTTTAAACATGTAGAAACAGCTGCAGAATCTGCTGAGTGCACGCACTTCATTTTCACAAATCCGATTTTTAAATTTCCTTTCCTGAAGAGGTCACACCGTAGCTGGAACACCGTGATACCGATCAACACAACTCACCTTCAGCGGAGCTTGTGATGGGCACAGGCACTAGAACTCGAGGTATAGCTGTGAGGAACATAACAAAATGACCGACACAGTACTGCTTGAGGTGGAGCAAGGAAAGGTGGGGTATTGAAGTGAGAGCGTAACCTAGGCAAAGATTTCACAAAACAAACTTCAAATATCTTTCAGAAAATTGGACACGTGTAGATGCTCTGTCAAAGTCAACGATACTAGTCACGAGACTAAAGATGAACTGCACACGGATGCCTAGTGTTTCTGTACAAGTAAGCACATTGCATGACAGATAAGAGTATCATCAGGCATCTCAAATACCCTATAGGTGCATAATCCTCCTTTATGTGTACTGGCCTTACCAAAGCTTGCCGACAGTGCCCGAGCTCCAGTGTTGACAGCATGCAGTTGCAGAGACTGAGCTTGACTCATGTCTAGAGTACCTAGGCTAGATGCTTGCGCAGCGCTGACAGCCACGGAGCACGATGAGAATTCCGTATTACATTGCACCTCATCCGCAGCTATGTGCAACGGAGCTTGCAGGCCCTCTCCAAAGTGAAATATCAACTGGAAGGCAGAGCGCACGTCGGCCAATGATGGAGTGAAGAGAAGGGTTCCAGCTGTCCTGCTTGTCGCTTTAAACTGGTGTATCAGAGGTGCTGCAGCACACAGGGAACATCAAGTGTTTACATCAACATGCAGCAAACTCCATAGGAGACCTCAGGACAGCCCGAATAGATTTGCCGTATAATGCACCTTTGCAAAAGACCTTTGGTATTGATAGTCATACAAAAGCAAAGCAATGGACCATACCAAGCCCGTGCATAAAAAGTGCATTGAGCAGTCTCAAATGATTTTTCCGACCATATGCTCATACATGCATGAATGGTGCAGGATGCAGGGTGCCCACTGATAAGTTGTATCAAGAGTACACAAGACCAAACACACACGGTTTGCTCAACTGAGGAGGATAGAGAAAAAGTCAGTTACAGCTCTCAGTTCCACACTTTTGCGTTCAGAGCTGGAATCAATGCTCCTTTCTAAACAGACAAAACTCAGGGAAGACAATACAAGTATTTGGAGGTTGACAAGAAGCCATAGGAAAGATTGTCATGATACTGAGGTGGTGAGGAGTAGGGGCTCGGAGTACTAGTATATGTACAGGACACTGAACCGACTGAGGACTGACCTTGGCCTCGGGGAACTATATTCACCATGTCACCAGCTAGACCACTTTCATGTGATGCCTGCACAGAAAACTCAACATGCCCTCTGCTAAGGTCCACTGAGATATTGGCTGACGTTGCATTCCCTGGTACGACTTGGCTCTTCACTCGATCACGTACACCTGTGGATTGACGACGCTGTCGACGTGTGCGGGCTTGACTTCTCCAGGTAATCCGGTACCATGCTACGTCGCCTGCAGTATCTGGTGGTACCCAACTCAAGTGCACAGTGTGACTGTCAACCACCATGGCTGACAAATTGCGCACCGTGAACGAATCTGGACACAACACAACATATGGAAAGAACAGTTTAAAAAATGATACATTCCAAATTCAACTAAGAACAAAAAAGAACACACTTACTGAAGTAAAGGTTAATACACAGTCATCCGCAGACAACAAGTAACAACATTTAGTTGATCTGAGCGTTTTCTTGTGGCTATCTTCAGGAAACGTTATCACCACAATGAATTTGAAATCAGTTACTGTCACGTTGAAACCGTGAAATTGTTGCGATGGTCTAATTTCTGCGAAATTCACGACCGCGTGGAAATCGCGAAATTTAGACAGCGCGAAAAGGAGATCCATGAAAGGTTTAGCATGAATGCCACAGTAGCACATTCTGCAATCGCAAAATTAAAACCTCGCAAACCTGTCCGGATTCTGAAAACGCGAACTAAAAACGCCGCAAAAATTTCACGCTTTACAGTAACAAGAGGAAAATATTGTCAAAAGGGAGACACTCAATAAACTCTCTACCGCTACACCCTCACACCCTGTTTTACAACTGTATGGGCTAGATGTATCCCTGCGTTGCTGTGTATTGCTGTGTTGTTACATTGAATGTCTCCCTTTTTTCAATATTTATTATATTCCTCTTGTTTAAACAATAAGAGGACGGAAAAAGTGTTTTAACTCTGAGTTTCGCGCACTAAGCAATCATCAGAAAACAGTAATGAGTAATCTGGATCAGTACAGTACTGGATCATCAGTCGCTTAGTGCGTGAAACTCAGAGTTAAAACACATTTTCCGTCCTTTATTTGTTTGAACTAGCTCTGCCTCTCAGTATTGAGCACTCTCTTGGACGGCCTGGAGCCTCTCTGTTTTATTCCTCTTGTATACTTATTTGAAATTTATTGTGGTGATTTATTTAAATTTCTGTCTCCTCGTTGCACATAATGTTGTTGTTGTTGTTTCAAAATGGAGGTTTGCACATTGCAAACCGTAGTTAACATTCACGAAACCAACAAGCCAAAGGCGCCATGGCAACCAGTAAACGAACCCGCAAAAATAACAATAATTAGAATAAGAAACAGAAAAAAAATCAAGTTAGTGTGACAACAAATGCAAGGTTCCCTTTCCGGTGAAAGTGCTGCAACTGAGTGTGTCATTGCTGACCAACAATTTGTTTTCACTTGTTCTAGTCGTTTCCTCTAGCCTCCTCAGTTGCCGAGGAGCATAGTAGTCTTTCCACAGCCGTATTCCTAGGAACGTACTGCCAGTTTCATCATGGCCTTCACTCCTGACCAGCAGCGGTCTCTTGCGGAGATGATTTCGGCTTCGGTCTCGTCGGCGTTGTCGGCCCACTCCGCATCTCGAGGACCGGATAGGGGAGCGTCTGATGGGCCATCAGATCAAGCCGGTATGTTTTTGACTCATGATTCTGCCCGTGCTGAGATGCCGGCCAGTTTAGATTCTGCCCCCGCATTCCCTGCATTCCCTGCATGCGTATGCCATGTAAGTAATGAAGCCATTTCAAAAATTTGCAAGGTCGAGTTTTTTGATCTGGCCCTCCTACTTCCCGCCAAGTACGAGAGGCCCTCCGATGATCAGCCTATCTCTAAGCGGGTCAAATTAGCCGAGGACGGCGATTGCTTGGTGATCTCCGCCTCTCAAGCCTCCAAGAGGCGAATTGATTCTTTAGCTTCGTGGATGGAAGCATGGTCCATCTTCACGATTATAGCTACCTCGAACGACCCGGCCTGCGCTGCTAGCTTGGCAGAACACCAGCTACGCATTGTGCAAGCCGCAGCGAAGTACCGCCTGGCTGCGGTGCTCGAGTACGACATCCGGGTGCGGCAATCGGTGGCTCGGGCACGCACCCCCCTTTCATCACTTGACACGGCGCTGTACACTGAATGTTTCACGGGCCAGGCACTTCCCACGTGTTCCAAGTGCCGGAAGGTGGGCCACCTGGCCAACAATTGTCTTTTTCGCGGCTCCGACAGCCGGACGCTGCATGCCACCTCGGGCGCAACAAGCGGAGGAAGTGTCCACACGCCCGGGCAGTCCACCATCTGCCGCAAGTTTAATGCGGGCAACTGCTCCTTTAATCAATGCCGCTTTAAGCACTGCTGCTCCTTCTGCTCTGGCACCCACCCGGCCAAGGAATGCCCAGCCCGCAAGTAGCTCCATGAGTACTCCTTCCTCCTGTCTTCCTTTATCTGCACATAAACCCCACACGCCCATCATTATTAGCGCACTTAAAATAGAATTAGAATCACACCCCGATGACCAGTTGGTCGCTTCCTTATTGCATGATCTTGAATTTGGTGTTCGCATTGGTTTTGGCAACTGTCTGTCTGAGTCTTTTTTGTCACGTAATTTGTCCTCCGCTGCTGACAATGCAGAAGTAGTCGATGACTATCTCCGCCAGGAATGTGAGCGCGGGCATACGGCTGGCCCGTTTGAGGAGCCTCCTGTTCTCCCCATTCACACCTCTGGCATTGGAGTTGTACCTAAGAAGTCGGGTGGCGTCCGCCTAATCATGCACCTCTCCGCTCCTGCTGGCAGGAGCATAAATGATGGCATCAAGAACTCAGACTTCTCCTTCCAAATGATCTCGGTGGATACGGTGGCCGATCATGTCATGCGCACTGGGAAGGGGGCATTGCTATGCAAAGTGGACATCAAGCATGCATTCCGGCTCTGTCCCGTTCATCCCAACGACTGGCCTCTACTCGGAATATGTTGGCGGGGGAAGTTTTATGTCGACAAAGTGCTGCCTTTCGGCCTGCGCTCCGCACCAGCTTTATTCAACCGCCTAGCCGAAGCACTGGCCTGGCTACTTCGCCACAACTACGGTTTGAAGTGTCTGGAACACTACCTTGACGATTTCATCAACGTCTCACCACCAGCGCCGGTGGTCGCCACATCAACAGCAGCGGTGCACATGGCCACCATCCTGGAGGTTTTCGCCAACCTCGGGGTTCCCATCGCGGAAGGAGCAGACAAGGTTGTCGGTCCGGCCACGGTCATGACAGTGCTCGGCATTGAGCTGGATACTCAGGCTCTGGAAATGCGGCTGCCGGCCGACAAGCTTCTCGAGATCAAAGCGCGGCTCAACGAGTGGGCGGTCAGCCCATCGTGCACGAAACGTCAACTGTTGTCACTAATTGGCCTCCTCTCATTTGCGTCCAAAGTGGTTGCGGCCGGCCGCACCTTCACCCGTCGTCTCATCCATACCAGCACCACCGTGACAGGCTTAGATGAAGAAGTGCACCTGGACGCCGATGCTCAAGCAGACATCCGTTGGTGGAAGGAGTTCCTCCCACACTGGAACGGCCGAGCGCTTCTGCGTGACCCAGTATGGTCGAAGCCCCCAGACTTTGAGCTCTATACCGATGCTTCCGGCCCGGGATTTGGAGGTTTCTTTCAGAGTGCCTGGTTTTGCCAAGAATGGGGCCCGGAGCACCAGCACGGCCCTTTCTCCTCTATCATGTGGCGGGAGATGTATCCCATTGCTGTGGCCGCGCAATTGTGGGGCCCGCAGTGGCAGACGAAGAAGATCCTCCTCCATTGCGACAATCAAGCTGTCGCCACAGCATGGGAATCCGGCTCATGCCGGAATCTGGAGGTCATGAACCTCATACGGACCACCCTGCGTATTGCGGCACGCTACAACTTCATCCTGTTGATCCGTCACATCTCAGGTATCGACAACAGTATTGCGGACGCCCTCTCCCGTCTACAGCTCAGTCGCTTCCGCTCGCTAGCTCCGTCTGCCAATCCGGACCCAGTTCCACTGCCAACTTAGATCGTCTAATGATGTCTCACAATATATTCACAGCCCCTTGGGGTGTCCGTTTTGCTGTGTCTGGCCTTCGCCGTCACTACACTGACTTATTGTTATTTTTTTTCTGCCATACCAACTACACCGAAACCAATTTCTCAGTTCAATCTCTCCCTTACTATTCGCCCACCCTTTAGCACGGGCGGCTCTCCTCCCTACACTGCCCCCCCCCCCCCCCCCCCCCCCCCCGCTTCGCTGCTCTCTTTTGGAAGGAAGTGGCTATGCAGTGCTCATATAGTGCAATCCTGCAAAAACCAAAAATTGGCTCTCAACGGTCATAGGCGTTTTGGCATCGTGGTATAGCTATGCCCCTATGTCAGGGTATTAAGTTGAGTACTGGGATGCTCATTGCACTCAGACTGGCACCGGGATGCCTATGCGAGCGATAATTATGTGGGCCGGCATCAAGATGGCCTTAGCGTGGATGCGTACACGTTACACCCTGGGCTTGATGCGAGGCTAAGTGATGCATTCTTAACTGTTTACGGCAATTCACATTTAATTGCGCGGAACTAAAACAAGCAGTATGGGGCCAAGTTGCCCACAGCCATAAGCGAGCACCGGGATGCTTTAACACCCAGACGGGCACCGGGTTGCGCGTAACAATACTAAGGAGAGCACCGGGATGCATATGTGAGCGGGTTGCGTTGTAAGGGGCACCGGGATGCCTATAATTGTTAGTCAAGCGGGCACCGGGATG